GAACTGGAGGAGAGAGATCATTGCCAGCCTCGAGGGAGGGAAGGCAGGCAGGAGCGAACTCGGGCATGGAGCGATTCCTTTGGCAGCAGCACCAGGCGATCCCCACACATGCAGGGCTCTGTGGTAACCCCACCTGCTGTGGTGTCCCCTCCTTGCAGGGAGCGTCACAGGGTGCACAAAGGAAGGCAGGGCTGCTGAGGAAGCCCTGGGGATTAGAGGGACAAAGAACCCAAATCTATAGGAAACCAGGCCTCATTTGTCCTGCTGCTCATGGAACAATTAGGTTATCTTAAATACAATGGGGTTATCTTAAATACAGGGGCATGAGCTATCCTGAAAGTCCCTGCCAGGGAAATGGTGATGTAGTAACAAAAACACTGAAACACTGAAGATGATTAAGTGACAGAGGAATTTATTTATGTGCAGAGTCTGCCTGTTTTACGCTGAAGCTGTGAAGAAAATGCAGCGAGAGGCTGTTATTTTTGCAACAGGGGCGCCTCCAAGTTTGGTGCGTTGGTCACCTGAAGCCTTGCAACATAAGGGAAGAATAAAGAGTTACGCTTCCTGCGCGGTTTTTATTTAGGAAGGAAGAGAGGGAGGGCCCTACAGCCACCCAGCTGCGCCTCAGCGCTGCTTTATGGAGCGCTGGGCTGTGGGGCTGACCCTGCAACCAGCAGGAGTGTAAAGAAAGGAGGAGCGCCCCCCGCCAGGCGGGTATGGTGTGAGGCAGGGCGGTGCTGAGGGACGTGCAGGGGCCATGTGTTGTTTTTTTTTTATTTTATTTTTTATTTTATTAACACGAGTGAACGATCGCGCCCCACGCGCGGGGCCGCGAGGCGAGGCCGTGGCTGGGCCTGGGGCCGGGCCCCGCCCGCTCGGCTCCCGCGGCCGTTTCCATGGCAACAACACCCGGAAGCGGAAGCAGCGCCTCAGCGAGGCCCCCCCCGCCCTGCGGGTTCCGCCCTTCCGCATGCGCACTGCGCGCGCTGACCTCACCGCCCCCCCCTTACCACCGAGAGCAGCAGCGAGCGCCACCCCCCACCTCTCTATGATCCGGGCGGGGCGCGGCACCCCCCCCTCCCTCCCTTCCTCTCGGGGCGCATGCGCGCGGCGGGCCGGGCCGAGCCTTCTAGAGGCGCGAGGCGGCGCCGCGCAGGCGCAGTGCGCGCGGGGCTGGCGCAGGCGCGGCGGGTCCCCATTCTTCGCGGGGCGGCGGGGCGGGCGCAGCCATGCAGCGCTGCGGGCACTGAGCCCGCCGGGCCCGCCCCGCCTCGCGCTCAGACAGGTACCGGGGGGGGCGGGGGGGAACGCGCTGAGGGGGCCTGAGGGGGCTCTGGGGATTGGGGGGGGCTCCGCGGCCTCGTTGAGGGGCTGTGAGGGGGGTGCGGGGGGGCCCGCGGCCAGGCCCCGGCCGCCTCCTGTGGGAGCTGCAGCGCGGGGAGGGGGGGGGGCGGGGGGCGGGGGGCCCGGGGCTGGGGCCGCAGCGCGGGGTGGGGTAGGGGGGGAGGCGGCCGAGCCCTGCGGGCTGTGGCAGCGCCGCTCGCCCGGTGGGAGCTGCCTTTGTGCCGCAGGGCCCGGCTGGGTTGTGCTCGGTGGGCGGGATGGGGCATGGGAGCTGCCAGAGGGACGGAGCGATGCCTTACTGTGTCACCGTGGGTGAGCCCCTCCTGTATTATCACCCTTCTGCTATGTTTTCGTGTTGTTTTGTTGCCTTTTTTTTAACAAAAACGACCGCCACCACAAATAGGATCTCTTTTCTACGCTGATGCCTGCAATGTGCTTGGGAAATGCTTGGGGCTGGGCAGACAGCTTCAAAAATGTGTGTTCCAAGAAGAAAAATGCCGTGGGGGCATTCTGGCCTTGCCTCACTCGGTGATAACAGCGTTATGGTGCTAAAAGTGAGGTGGCAGCATGCTCGGGAGGTGGGAATAAGTTTCTCTCCCTCATGTGACGTTCCCCAGAGGGACGTTTGGAGAGGATGCCTATGGAGAATGAGCTGCTCCTTCAGATACTTCATTCCTGCAGATACTTCATCTTTGAAGTCCTGTAGGAATCTTAAATCCGAGCTGCAATTGCAGGGTTATGGGCGCCGGATACTTAAACAACAAACGTCCAACCCAAATGATTTATGCCCTCCTCCCGTGTGTTCATCAGCCCTCCCCTCTCCGTGGGGCCGGTCAGTCAGGGCTGTTAGCAGCTGGAGGATGGGAGCTGGCAGCAGGTCCAGCTGCCCCAGGGTGGGTTATGGCACAAGGAGGTCGGTGCTGCCTCAGCAACCTCGGCGATGGGGCTGGGTGTGCTGTATCATGAGAAAAAGCCTGAGTTGGGCTGGGTGTAAGGTGTTGGGACAGGTAAGGGAGCAACAGCCCCACAGCTCCCTGCTCGTTGTGCAGGCTGTGATGGATGCAGCGTGCCTGTGGAGACTGAGCTGCCATTTCGGGCACCCAGCTGGCCTCGGATGACTTGGCTCAGGCTCCCGTGTCACACTGAGCCTCTCGTTAGCTCCATGTCCAGGCCAAGGTTTGAGATCTCGCTGCTGTGCCTCGGGGTCGGGCTTGCTGCTGCTAATGCCTCCTCCTCGATTCCTGTGGCCAAAGCTTCCTCTGCATCCTGACAGGGCCAGGGCACCTCCCAGCATAACTGCCTGTGCATTAAACATGCTGCCGAGTGTAGAAGGCTTTAGTAGCTGAGTTAATGCACAAAACCAATTTATCTTATTAATTTGTTCAGGCTGTGACTTGAGGAAGTTGTAAACAAGCAGTCTGAGGGGTTCGGCTCTGCCGTGATGAAGGGCTGCTGTTCGTGGCAGCTTCGTGCAGAGCAGCTGCAGCTCGTCCCCAGGGTTTCATCTTGTTCCGTGCTTACATTCTGCATTTCCATCGACCCGCTGGGTGCTGCAGGTTGCTGTGTGTTTTGTTCCAGCCCTTCCAGTAGTTTGGGTATTGTCCATCAGGCCAACCTGCTACCTGGAGCCCCGGTGCGAGCCAGCAGAGTCCTTGTGCAGCCAGGCACTGAGCAGCCCAGCAGCCACACAGGGTCCCTGGCGTTCTGCCCTTGCTGTCTGGCTCTGTTGTAGACACAAGAGCTCACTTTCGCTTCTTTTTGGCAGGTCTAGCAGTAAAAATCCCCAAACACATCGGATGAGTGCTGACCCTTGGAGTTATAGAAGGGCAGCAGATGGGTTCTGGGGTGTGAGAGGCCAGAGGTGATTGCCGGGAGCTCTGATCTCAATTGGTGTTTAGTGTTTGGTCTGTCTGGCTCTGTCACTTAAACCTCTGCGCAGCTGGCTCCCCAAGGAGCCAGGCAGCAAAACGAATTGTTAGGCAAGCATCAGCAGCAGCAGTTTATGGGAAATCAGCGGATTTTAGGGTCTGTACCTGGCTCTGTGGGGGAGTGCAGTGCAGCCCCGCAGTCCCTCAGCTGCCGCTGGAGTTCAGCCCGATGCGCGGCGTCGCCGAGCGTTGTTGCTGCTCCCTCTGGTCCCTGCTCACTCTGCCCCCTGTGTAATGAACCACGGCAGTGCCACTGCCTTTCCGTGCTCCCTGCTGCCTGTGCTGGGGGCTTTTTGGGCCACGTGCCTCGAATGCTTCCAGGGTGGTTCTGGCTTGGGTTGTGCATAAATCCTTCCCTCCCTGCTCCGTGCCGCTACCCAGCGAGAGGCTCCTGGGGGTAGCGAGCTCCCGGAGGCCTTGTGGGGTATGGCGCTTGTATCGCAAACCCGCTGAGCTCTTTGGAACTGGATTATCCGGATCCCGTACCCAGCATGTGGTAATAGGGCTTTTCCTTTCCCCAAGGTGTTGGCTTGCCCTTGGTTCCCGCTGCCACTGGGGCCTTTCTTTGCCCTGACTCTGGGAAAGGCAGCGCCCAGCTCCTGCCTGTGCAAGGCCTGCTGTTCTCCCACCTTTTCTTTTCTTTCATTTCCACCGAGATGCTTCCCGTCCTCAGGATCAGGGGTGACAGCAGCCGAGGGGCTGGCATTGCTGCAGGACGGGGGCAGGTTGCAGGCTTGTGCTGCGTGCTGGGAAGCAGCTCGTCCTTGCGAGCAGCCAGGCGGTGGGATGTGCGCTCTGATTTTGGTAGCCTTTCACTTCAGGCCTTGGGGCTGAGACGCCCACAGGAGGGGCGTGCCCAGGGCAGCTCCTGACCTTACGGGATTTTCAGCTGCATCTCAGCACTTGGACCCTTCGAAAGGAAGGAGACCTGGAAAGCTCATTCCAGACTTGTCCTTGGCCTCAGACAAAATTAAAACCAGACTAATGTGAGAGAGGGGTTGTGTTAGCAAAACAAAGGATGATGAAACTGGTTTTCCCCCTTGCTCTGGAAGAGTGGATCCATTGGGGTGGGCGTTGGGGTCGCCCCGAGGCCTTCAGCCTGCAAGTGCCCTGGGGCTGCTGTGGCTTCATTTGTGCTGAGTTTCTGCAGGTGGGTGCCTCGCCGGAGGAGTCAGGTGTGCAGGCTTTTTGTGGTTACATACGGGAATTCCTGTGATCTGAAGCTTCTCTCTCATCTTACCAGGCCAGGGGAAGACAACTTTCGTGCCTAGCATCTGTCGTGGAAGGATTGTAGGGGGGCTGCGAGGTCTTAGCTTAAGCCCTGGAAATCTTTCAGACGTCTTCATTCTGGAGATCTGCCTCCTCGGTTTTCCTCGCGTGCTGCCGTGGCTCAGTTACCGCCTGAGCCCCTTCACAGACCCCAGCGGGCCAGAAGAAGAGCTGCTGCCCAGCAGGGGCCTTGCAGCCCTGGGGCTGGAGGTGGTTCTGCGCCGGGCAGAGCCTCACAGGAGCCTCCTTAGCGTGCCTGGTGCAGGGGGGGAGAAGACCCAGGAAAGCTTCCAGCAGAGTGGTTGTGAAATACCCTGGGCACTGAAGGAAGATCATCTCCCACTTGTGGAGACAGGTGAACAAAAGGGGGCCCCTCTGCCAGCTCTGGGAGGTGTCCCTGCGAGGTAGGACAGCTGCTGGTGTGCTTGCCACCTCTGGAGGCTGAACAACAAAGTGCTGAAGGCTTGGAGGCTGTCACAGCAGATGCTTTCTGCTGCTGTCTGCATATCTAGGGAAGGGGAGGTGTAACTGGAGAGCTGTTGGATGAGCTGAGTACAGACCAGCCCCCAGGAGAGCAGCGCTGCATTTTTTTTTAAACATTCTTCTGGTTTTCTTCCCCTCTGCAAGCACAAGAAGATGCAAAGTTTCTTGTGAAGGTAGGCGAAGATCAAGCCTTACTTGGGTGTTACAAATAACACAGATTCAGTTTGGGTGAGCGGGGTTCTCCTACTCACAGCAAGAATTTCATTGAGTTGGGTACCCCGGTTAATGCTGCCCCATCTTAGGTGTAATGAGTGTTTCCTTGTTACTGCCTGAGCTGGCTGGTTCCCCACGCCGAGCCAGTCGTCTTGCTGTGGATTGTACCGGCTCCAGTGGCATTAGGGTGGTGGTATCTGGGCTGAGCAACTTGGGGCTGTGCAGCCGGTGTCAGCTTTCTCCCTTACACTCCCCATTTTGAGCTCCAAGCCCGCATTCACCTTATGCCTCTCTACTGGCTTTGTGCTGGGTGGCTCTTGGTGGAAAATGTAGGTGCTGCTGGCAGGGGCTTTCAGTAAGCACCGAGCTCTCAGGGCTTAACAGGGGGAGAGGGACCTGCGTTTGTGCTCTTCTCCCCCAGAGGTGTTTAAAGGTGGTGCCACGATGCAGTGGATCTTCTTTAGAGCTCAGTCCTCATGTCCGGATCACACGCCTCTTCTTCTGTAATGCAGGGTGATTTTGATCCTGTCTTCCGTCACATGTTTTAAAAAACGAGGAACTCTTGGGGAAATTTGTTTAAATTAGCTTGCAGAAAAGGTTGCTTTGTGCTCTTCGGCAGAGTTCAGGTACTCATACATGGAAACCACCTAGAAGAAAGGCCTGAAACTCGGGGTGTTCCTTTCTCACGGCGCTGTGGCCCGCTCATACAGCTGTTGGATCTGCTGGGGCTTGCCTGTGTGTGAAGTTAATCAAAAATGGCTATTCTGTGGTAACGAAGTCACTCACACCCTGCTGCAGCCTGAATTAATTTTCAAGTTTAAGCAAGCTCCCCGTTTCCATGCTGAGAGCAGGCAGGGGACTTCTTCCCTGTGCTCACAGAGGGCAGGGCAGGGGCCGGCAGTCCGAGGTGCAGGTAGGAGGCTCCTCGGGAGGCTCGCTGAGCCCTGCCGTGGGGAGCTGGAGCCCTGCAGATCCGGGGGAGCTGGGTGTGCTCTGCAGGCACCCCTAGGTCGGGGCAGTGCTCGCAGGGAGCTGGCGGCGCTGCCTTCAAGCCCTGCCTGCCTGCAGCTGCCGCTCCCTTGCCGCTCAGGAAGGTCAGGTTCTGCTGGGATTTCAGTCTCGCGGCACGAAGCAGCCTCCTGGCTGGTGGCAGGGCTCGCCGGGCGGCTCCCTGGCTGCACACAGCCACTTTGCATCGGCCCTGCAGGACCTGGGGGCTGCTCCCGCGGGCTCTCGGGCCAGCTCCGAGCTGTACTGGGGCTGGCGCCTCTCCGGTGCGGCCCCAGAGGCTGGGGGTGAGCTGCTCCGGCACTGCCAGCCTGGGGATCTCGTGTGTCTCAGCCACTTTTTTCATCATGGGCTTTGTTTGCTCAAGCAGGAGGCGTTCAGATTCGCTGCCCCAGCGCTTCCAGTCGGTGAACGCGTGGCTCCGGCTCCCCTCCAGTTGTTTACTGGGCCAGCTGTGTGCTCCACAGCCCCTGCCCGTGCACTGGGCTTGACCCGCTTTCCTTGTGCGCACAAGGAAAGTAGGGCAGCTTCTGGCTCTGGGTATTATTAGCCGGGAAACAAAAAGACGTGCTGCGTCTTTATCTCCCCCCCCTCCTGCAGGAGCTAACCTGCGCAGAGGAAGTGCTTCGGGAAGCGTGGTGCTGCTGGGAGGGCTGTGTGGCTGCAGAAAGGGAGGGACCTGACCCTCCCATCCAAAAAAAAGAAGCATCAGCTGGGTGCCTGATGCAGTCCCAGGACAGGAGAGGCTTCTGAGGTTGGGGAGCATAACCGAACTGCAGACATCCAGCCACTCTTGTTTTAACAAAAGCAAAAACACTTCAGGCCCTGCCTTGGGCTGCAACAAGGCAGGGTTCAGCTTGGGAGCACCCTGAGCCCCTCGTTGTGCATCCCCCGAGCCCAGCGTTGGCCGTGTACCGTGCAGGCCAGCGAGGGCATCGATGGCTGAAGGCCAGCAGTCAAAGCAGGACCCAGACGGCTCCCCGCTTTCACTCCTTAAGGCTCCTGTGTCTTCCCAGTGACCTGCCTGAGGGTTTTGTCCTCACCTCCGTGGGCAGGCGCTGATGGTGGTAGCTGCGTGAATATTGATTACTAATCAGCTCTTAGTTAAGCCCCAGATTTGCTGCCTGTCGCTAAAGCTCCTTCTAGGGAACTGCTGGGTGGGTAACTGCTGGTGTGAAGCACAACCAGAGGTTTTTGTCCTGACCTACCTCGTCTGATTCCCTAAAATAGAGCAGTGCTGCTCGTATCCAGCTTATCGCAGCCTCGCAGCTGTATACGAGTAACCTATTTTGTGACACGCTTTGTCTTTTTTTTTTTTTTCCTCCGTTCTTAATTTAACCTGTAATACTTTTTATTTCTTTCAGAATGGACTGCTGAATTGGGAATTATTGCAGACCCAACAGTACGGCACTGCTCGTTGCTTCATCTATTGCTAGTTATTTAAATTGGACTTTTAATATCCTGCCAGCTGCCGTTCACACACACATGGTGCATTGTTGCCATTCTCAGAATTGCATCTTTGAAACCCAGACCCTCCGTAACCTTCATCGAACAAAGAGGCGACCTCCTGCGTCTGTTCGAAGAGGGATTTGTCGGACCGCCTGCCCTCTAGCTTTCTTGCTGGTGCTGTGTTCCTAAGACACCATGGAGCCCAGTATGGAGTACTGCTTAGCGCAGGTGCTGCAGAAGGATGTCGGGAAGAGGCTTCAGGTTGGCCAGGAGCTGATAGATTACTTCTCAGATAAACAGAAGTCAGCTGATCTCGAACACGATCAGACTATGCTGGATAAAATGGTAGATGGACTGGCCACCTCCTGGGTCAATTCCAGCAATTACAAGGTAAGGCTCGTCGGATGGAATTTAATTACAGTCAGAAGTTTCATGGGCAAGTGATGCTTGATCTAAGTGGAAGCTGTACAGCATGTTTCTGATACGCTGCTCTGTGAGCTGGTAATTACGCTGAGTCAACCGGCCGTGTCCCACTTCTTGGTAGTTAATAACTGGTGTGATAGCAAGGATGCATAACAGTAACACTTCAGCCAATTGGCTTTATTCTTGGTGTTCGCAATTCGTGCTGTCCTGATTTCTTTGTCTACCTTGTTTCACCTGTGGGACTCTTTGATCATCCCACTGCTTGGCAGTGTTGATGATTTCCTGCCCTATAAAAAACGGTATGTAAAGCTGAAAAAAGTGTGCATATCCAGCCAGTACTTTTTCATGTTGTCGTTAATTCTTTCTAGATGTTTTTTCTACTGTCCAGGGGTAATTTAAGTACAACTGATCTATTGCAGCTTGCTGAGGAAAGGTAATGAGCAAGTCTGTGTTGTGTTGAACATAACCATCTCGCATCCACACATCCACAGGCATGAGCCATGGGATGTAGAACCCCGCAGCCCTGTTACCCCTGTCACGTTGCTTCGTTCCCCACAGCCCTTAGTAAGGAAGTCCTGCTGCTGCCATGGGGCTTCCTCACTGGAAGGGGTTTGCAGCTGTGGTTTGGGAAAGTCCTGTCCCAGTCCTTTCCCAAAGCTAGTGGGCTACTTAACCCACAGGGAGGGTACAGGAGGTTTTGGTACTTCATGATAAGTCCAGGAAAATTTGAGGGCAAAGCCTCCTACAGGCGTGGTGGTGAAGCTCGTTCCTGGGAGCTGTTGGAGTGCTCTCACGCAGAAGTGAAGGAGAGGCTGACTGTGCAGGTTGCGCGTCTGTTGGAGCAGAACATCCTCAGATTAATTGCAACTGTTTTAAATGGAAATGTTGATGGTAAGGATGCTGTATCTTGGTCAATGTGTTCTGCACGGCTGCATTTTTGCTTTTCATAATTGTCAACGAGCAACTGCAGTGGAAGCTGCTTGGCATGCGGGAAACAAAAAGCCCAAAGCTGTTGGAGGGCAACCTGATCAGCTCATGGGTGAGTGAAACAGCCCTAAAGGTGGGAGGCCCGGCATCAGTGCCCTAAAGAAGCCCTCTGGGATGTCAAACTACACTTCCTTGGTCAAGGTTTAAGCCATTACGTTGGCAGTCTGCTTCTCTGCTCACCTCTCTCCCTTCATCTGAGCAAGTACCGGCTTAAAACAAAGGTGGAGACCATCTGTGTGATCAGGAATTTCCTAGCAGTTGGTGTGCTCGCAGAGGGAGGCTGGTTTGGGGTTCCAGACCCAGTAGTTGGGAGAACATCCAGATGGTTCATGGCTGCTGCCCACTGAGGGCTGTGCTAGGGGGGCTGTACGTTATCGGCGGGGAAACATCAGTGAAACGAAGAGAAAGGGCATCTCGAGAGACATCAGTTTGCACTGAGAGGAGCCTCGTTTGCTGCTGCTCTGCTTCTACTGGAGGGCTTCAAGTTGCTTAAATCGTTGATTTGAGCTATGTAGGCATGGTCTTCATTGGCATTTTTAGGCTTTTTTTAATAAACTGCTCTTATACACCCAGGACTGGGTTCCACTACTTGAAGAAAGTTTCTCCTCGGCACTTTCTCATATCGAAAAACGGTAGGAGAGGCTCGTTTGGAGTGAAAACGGGCAGGGGTCCCAGTAAAGACCTAACTGGGTGAAATGCATTGCTTTTGGGGGATCTCGGGCACTCACTGCACAAGGTGTGCTGGCCAAGGGGAAGGTCTCACCCTTGTGTGGGACGATCCCTTTGCCCCAGGGCTGTGTCCCGGTGCTGATTTTTGCTTTTCTGTGCAGGACTGCTGATTCAATTCTTTTAGCTCCTAATGGGTTTTGTTACTTACAGAGGGATCATGCTCTTAAAAATGAAATATATAGTGAAGAGTTGCAGGGAAATGTTATTTCCCCTGACAGAGCTCGTAATTGTGCTAGGGAAGGCAGCCTTCCACTCTTATCTCTGTCTGCATATCAGGCATTGCAAGAGCATGCTTGGCTGAGCTGAAGAGAAGTAGAACTTACACAAATTATCTGGCTTTCTCAAACTCTGTATTGAATATTTTTTGAGTTTCTCTAATTGAGGGGTAGAACAGATGGCACAGGCTTCGTTTAAAGTGGAATCCATTCGAGTGACTTCAGCTGATGAGTGGTTGTTCGCTGTAAGCACCCGTTTGTTCTCTGTACCGTGTTTGTTTGGGTTGGGATTCGATGGAAGAAGCCCTCATTTAAGAAGCAGATGTGCATGGGTTTGGGTTGGTGCATTAATCTGGTGGGTGTGCGTGTTGTTGAATATTTAGTGTGCACAGAGAGAGACTGCGCCGTCTTGGGAAGAAGAAAAGAGTAAAGGGTTTCCAGACAGCTGTTAGCTGCTGAATTTGGGGGCCAGGGTGATGAGAAGATGAATGATGTGTGCCTTTTCCTCCTGTGTGCCTGTGCTGCAAAAGCAAACTTAGCAAAAACGGCCTCTGATTGCTTTGGGGTGGGGAGAAGTGCTGCCTTAGGAAGGGCTAAAGGTTCGCTGGGCTCGAACTGTGCGTGCAGGATGTGCCCCATCCTGCAGTGCTGGACTCCAGTGCTGTGGGGCTCCTACTAGCTGGGTTTTCCTGCCATAAGTTTAGGAAGGAGCAGGGCTTTGGCTCCAGGATGTCCAGCTTCCTGCAGGCATTGAAGCTGTGATTTCCCAGCAGCTCCAGCTGACGGCCTGTTCGCCCTCTGGGTCGGGTCGCCCTGCAGCAGCCGTGCCTGCCCTTCCAGCCCCTGCGTGGCAGCTCCATGGGATTGTGCTGCAGCTCCTGTCTGGTGGCAGCAGTGCGGGCTGGGCGCTGGTTGAGCTGGGAGAGATCAAACTCAACGGCAGCTTCTGTCCTTGGTGCTCAGGACAGGAAGAAATCAACTGCTGTGGCAATCAGCACCGAGGTTTCCCTGCGGATGTGTCTCGCTTCCTCCCAGGTAGCAGAGCCCCCGTGCTGGACTTAACAGGACAGAGGTTTGTTTCCTTGGTGGCACACAAGCCTTCTGTGTCAGGCTGGAGATCTGTTTGGCTCGGTGTCCGTGGTCAGAGGTGAGCAGAAAGCCTGCGTACACAGGGAATGTCTCCTTGGCATGCCCCTCTGCCTTGTGGACTGGAACCCCTGCTGCTGCTTCTTGCCCAAACCTGACTTCCTGTGGGGTTTTAGTGCTGGGATGGGCCCCAGGCAAGAGCGGTGGCCGTGGTGCGTGCGGGCTGTGTTGGCGGCCAGCCCTCAGCTCCGTGTGGGACAGAGCCAGCCAGCCCCAGGGCTCGCCGCCCTCCTGCTTGCTAAATTGAGAGGACAAAGCTATTCCCCTAATGCTGGGGTAGCATTTCAGCTGCAGCACCAGCATGCTCCCAACCAGACTTTGTTCAGAGCCCTGGCACGGCTCCCCAGCCCTTGGGAAACCTGCGCCGGGCGCGCTGGCTGCAGCTGGTGCCCCTGAGGAAGGGGCAGGTCACGGGGGTTCAGCCCCCGGTGATGGGGGCACGCTGCTGTGCCGGGCCTTTGGGGGCCCTGCTGGGGAATGTGCTGTGCAGTGCTGCTTGACCGTGTCCAGGGAAGGAATTTGGGCTGCAACAGGTGCAGGGAAGGGCGAGCGTGGTGGTCAGGGGCTGGGGAGCCCGGCCCGCCAGGGGAGCTGGGGAGCTTGGCTTGCTCAGCCTGTGGGACGAAGGCTGAGAGGCAGCGTGACTGCTGGCTATAAATACATCAGAGGGGCACGGCGGGGAGGGGCAGCGACTGCTGGAGCTAAAGGGCAAGGTTAGCACAGGAGCAGGGGGGTAGAGACTGGTCACGAGTAAATTTAGGCTGCCCAGGAGATGAAAGCTTCATGCAGCAAGAGCACCGACAGACGAGAAGGCTTGAAGAGGAATAGAGATGAGCCAGACATCCATTTGGTTTTAGGACTGATCTTACAATCATTTTGAGTAGTTTATTGTTATTCTGTGTTATATTCTCTATAGAATAACAGGATTATCCATGGGTATAGTGGCAGTCGATTTCAGCCCTTTGTCTCTCTGGAGTGCCTGAAACTGCCATAACACTTTGAGGAAACGTGAATGTATGAAAATGCGTGCTGGCTCTGGTCCTTACAAAGCCCACAGGGGATTTGCAAAGCCTGTCCATGCTGCGCCTGAGGCCACGTGCCTGTTGGAGCAATGCATTTACCTCTGGAGAAGAGTTAGTGCCCGTGATCCAGCTCCCCTTGGGTGTTGTTGGGAGCGGGCTGAGTGTCGGGGAATCCTCCTTCCCCTGGCACGGGGGTTCCTGGCTGAGGATCATTACCTGGAAGCCGTTCTTGTCTCACCCTTGAAGCCTGAAAAATCACCTCCTAGGAATCCCCCTGGCAGTGGGATCTGGTTGCCTCTGTCTATTTTAAATTGTTTTGTAAGCAGGGTTGTTTTTGTTGAGCCTCATTTCCTTTGGCTCTCGCTGTGCAGAGTCGTTGGTATCTAACGCTGCGCTTTTCCTCGTGTTTGATGGAATTGGTTAAAGTTACGGGGAGAGGGAGAGCATCTGAATAATATATGCAGAATACAACTACATAAGCATCTTTTCCCTAAAAATCAGACTGCAAAATCCCTGATGTGCGGGAAGTACACACGTTTCTCTAATTCTGGCTCATTTTTTGAACTTCTGCTCTGTCCTTAGCTGTGCTCGCTCTTGGAGCAGCCTGCTAGACAAGGCGGTCTGGTGCAGGGCAACTTCCATGGTGGTGGCTGGCCCCAGCAGCCTTCCTGTGGCCTTTTGAGACCGGGCAGTAAGATCCCCTGCGTGTTGGAGGATGGGCTCATGAGGATAGGGGATAATTTGGTTTGTAGGGGCCCTCATGGGCTACCTAGCCCCATCCACCCCATCGATGTCACGGTCCGGCTGCTCAACCCAGGAGGGAGCGGGTGGGTCACGGTGGAGACGAGCAGTCTCTGATTCTCTCCAA